GCGGGAGGGGGAGGGGAGGGGGAGGGGGAGGGACGCCGCGCGGGGTCCGCGTGCAGCCTCGGGCTCAGCGCCCTCCGCGACCGCGCCTGTGCCTCTTCCAGTACCTCGACAGGATAGGACAGCTCTTCTTTGGTGTGCCGGCCAAGCGGACGTCTTCCTACGGAGGCTTGCTGGGTGAGGGGCTCGTGGGGCGGGGGGCTCACGGCGGGGGCTTGCGGGTGAGGCCCAGAGCATGGTGTGCCGGCCGGGGGAGCGGAGCAGGCAGGGGCCTGGAGCGGGGCCCGGTGCCAGCAGGAGGGTTGCGGGCTCCTAGCTGTTTCCCTCTGCGTGTCCCCCAAGCAGAGCTCGTACGGCCCCTGATGAATAATTGTCCCCTGGGGTCCCTCTCCGTTGGCCACAGGATCGAAGCCAGATTTCTTTCTTTTGTGGTAAAATACACATTACATGCAATTCCCCACCCTAACCGTGCTTAAGTACGCAGGACAGCTGTGTGAACTACATGCACACTGTTGTGCAGCGGATCTCTGGAACCTTCCGTCTTCCCAAACTGAGACTCTGCCCCCATTACACACTGGCTCCCAGTGCGCACCCCCTACTTTCTGTCTCTGTGAACCTCCAGGGACCTCACATAAGTGGAATCACACAGTGTCCTCCTTTGCCGGCTTATGTCACTGTCAGGTTCAACCCTGTTGTAGCAGGTGCCAGGATTTCCTTCCTTTTTAAGGCTGATTCATGTTCCATCGTGTGGATAAGACTGCATCTTCAGTGGACACCTGGGTTCTTCCACCTTTGGCTGCTGTGAATTGTGGGTGTGTGCAAGTTATCTCCTTAAGGTCTTGCTTTCAGTGTTTCAGGGGCGCCCAGAAGCAGAACTGCTGGATCTGTTTAATTTTCTGAGGAAACGCCACACCGTTTTCCCACAGCAGCTGCTCCCACAGCAGCTGCTCCCACAGCAGGGCACAGGGGTCCCAGTTCCTCCACGTTCTTGCCAGCAGTTGCTGTTTTCTGGTCTTTTTGACAGTAGTCATCTTATTAATGGGTCTGAGGTGGTGTCTCTGTTTTGATTGTCCTGATTTGCATTTCCCTAGTGACTAAGCACATTGCGTATCTTTCGCGTGCTTATTGGCCATTTGTGTGTATGCCTGTTCGTGTCATTTGCTCATTTTTGAATCATGTTGGTTGTCTTACAGGTTCTTTACACTGGGTATTAATTCCCTTCCAGTTATACGATTTGCAAATATTTTCTCCCATTCTGCGGGTTGCCTTCTTTATTTTTTTTTAAAGACTTTATTTTTTTAAAGCAGTTACAGATTGACAGCAAAATTAAGAGGACGGTACAGAGATTTCGCATAAATACCCCTTCCCCGCCACAGGTGCGGCCTCCCCGTTATCAGCATCCCCCAGCAGATGGTACATTTATTATGGGTGAACCTGCATTGATGTGTCATTATCACCCAAAGTCCAACGTATTGATACATAAATTAGGGGACGTTTTTGGTGTTTACGTTCTGTGGGTTTGGACAAATGTGTGATTACATGTATCCGCCATTACAGTATTGTGCAGAGTCGTCGTGGTGCCCTAAAAAATTCTCTGGGTTCCACCTGTTCATCCTTCCCTCCCTTGTTGCCTTTTTACTCCCTGGAGTGTCTTTTGATGCACAAAATATTTTACTTTTCATGAAGTCTAATTTGTCTATTTTCCTTTTGTTGCTTCTGCCTTTGGTGTCATTTCCAAATCCAGTGTCATAAAGCTTTTGCCCTGTGGTTTCTTCTAAGAGTTTTATTATTTTAGGTCTTCCATTTAGGTCCTTGATCCATTTTGAGGTGGTTTTTTTTTTTTTTTTTTTTTTTTTTTTTTTTTTCTTTTGTGGGC